GGAACTTCGTAGCGGGTTTGCAAACCATTTGATTAAAAATCAGAACTTCGGATCGTGATTCATTTGATTGAGATCGGAACTTCGGAGTGCATATCGCGAATCCTTTGATTTATATCGGGACTTGGGAGTGAGTTCATGGATCTTTTGATTCAGATCGGAACTTCGGAGCGTGTATCACGAATCATTTGATTCAGATCGGAACTTCGGTGTGGATTCGCGAATCATTTGATTCAGATCGGGACTTCGGAGCGGGTTCACGAATAATTTGATCAGGACTTCACGTATCGCCAATCATTTGATTCAGATCGGGAGTACTTCTCATTTCTTATTTGTGCATCCTCGTTTCCTTCCCTCACTTCATCCCTGCGTTAGAAGGATGCAAGGATTGGACGCGAGGAGGAATTCGACTCAAGTGAATGGCAAATCCTCTGCTCTCTTCAAAGCGATGTCTATTAATGATGAGTGTGCACAGCTGGATTACATAAGAGCAGATTCATGAACACCTCTCCTCCGTTTGAACTCTTTAAAAGAAAAACAAAAGTATACACAAATACAAATAGCTTAAGAAAATTAACTGTGGTAAAAGTGTAATAACCATTTTTTCCGTATAACCACAGTTTTACTACAAACACCATGGTTAAACATTGGTTAGTGTAGCAAAACCATGGTTAATTTGTGGTTAAAACCATGGTTTAACTATAGTAACCACGTGTTTTGTTTTTTTGGAGTAAAACCATGGTTAATTTTCTTAAGGGATGTGTTGCCAGGTTAAAAAAAGTATTACATTTAGATAGATAGTTTCCATGTACTTGTCTAGATGATCAACTTTGAATAAAGAAAAGAGAGATTTAGAACCAGATTTTTGTTACTTAAAATTAGTTCAAGTGCCCCTATTATGGATTTTTTTTTTTAAATGACCTTTCATGCAGTGTATAATGTAAAGTATGTGAATGTAAACAGACTACAAAGCTGTAAAGCTGAAAGTGCATCATAAATAAAGTTAGTGTGTCTCAAAAGAAAGAGTCGACTCTGAATCGCTAAAACGAGTCATTATAATTTCTAATTTTCCTATGTTCTCTTTTGAGTAGTCAAACAATCGAAAGAAAACATCTCTAAAACAGAAAGAAAAGTCACTTACAAAACGAGTTCAGATGAACATTAAATAAATCTATCTGACCAAGAAGAAGATCTTCCTCAGAAGAAACAGCAACTCACTTCAGTGTCTGAATCATATTATAATCACGTCCATAAACTCATTAATCTGTTGTTTGACCTCTTCATATTTAAGGAGAGGACTATAGTTTCCAAAGTCAGACATCGTTGTGTTCTGATTTTCAGGGGTGTAGTGTTTAGTAGAGACACCTTGACATGTTCCTACCAGTATCAGAGACTATATTATCTAAATTATCAAACAATGAAATGTCTATTGTCCGCCCGTTATGTCCCCACCAATGCCAAAATCAAACCTACGCCCTTGAATTTTAACGCAACACGTGTTAAGAAATGTGTAGTTTATTCCAAGCACGTTTTCTGGGGAATGAGTGATGCCCCATTCACGAATGAATCGCTCTTTTTGAGTCGATTCTGTTCAAGGCCTCGATTAAACAAGTTGACAAAATGGTCTGAATTGGTTTGGGAATCAGTTTGAATCGTTTGTTCAGTTCCCTGCAAGCATTGAATCATCTGAAGCGGGTTCTCATTCATAACAGAAAATTGAAGAACATGGAGAACATAAAGAGTGTCATGAAGTGGCCATTTTTATTCTTACTGAAGTAAGTATTAAGATGATTACTTTTACTTGAGTAACTATTTGTACTCACCCCCCCCCCAAAGTCAGGACAGTTTTTGGATACTCTACCCACCACCTGTTTAGTGGTGTAGTGATTCATTCATGATTGATTCAGTGGTGTAGTGATTCATTTGTAATTCACATGCTGAAGTCATGCTGTATATTCCAGTCTTTGCTCAATGAATGCAGCGTGTGAACTCTGATATACTGTAACGCATCTTCTAACGTCATATTTTTCTCATCTACTTAATTTCTCTCTGATTTTATGAGTTTTAATGGACTTTTCAAGTTCAGTGCAGGTTTAGTTCAGTTCACTTTGATTTTGGTTCATTCAAGGCAGAAATTCTTTACAGTGTGTGATCATAAGTGTGTGTTACCTGGCAGGGCATTTGGCAGTGCTCATGTCCACACACTCATCCTGAACCCACTCTGTGTCTCCTGCATCACACACACACACACACACGCACACACACACA